GCAGATTTAGAGTAGCTATCACCAGGAAGTTCCTACCCACAGTCCCATGTCCCAGTGGCCTAACACCTGTCAGCTATAACCCATATCTAATAGGTTCTATAACCTTCCAAAATAACATTTCCACCTGGAAATCATGTGTTCAAACCCTTTAAACTTTAGGTGATAAAAAGATAAAATACACCAGTCAAAGGAAGAAAGAAAGAGAGAGAGAGAGAGAGAGAGAGAGAGAGAGAGAGAGAGAAAATAAATCTCCCAAATTAGAAAGAAAGTGATAGAAATGGAGTTTCTTTGCGATGACTCCCTCATGGAAGACTCTACTGTTAAGTGAGTGTTAAAGAGTTAGATTTTAAATAAGAATTCAAAACATACCTATCAATTGAACATCTGTGCAGTGTCAACTGTCAGGGAACCAGTTATAAAAGGTATCATGAGATACAATAGTGCATCAGAGGAGTTCACAAGTGCTCTGAACTCTAACTGTGCAATGTCTTAATTAGAGAGAATAAAACTTTTAAAAACTATTAAAGAAGTCATAAATAAATGAAAATAAATGCTATGTGCTTGATTAAGAAGGCACAACCCTGAAATGAGTTAATTCTTCTAAAAGTGAACTAAAATTTAATTGCTATTCAATTGAAATCCCAGCAGGAGATTTTATAGAGCACAATACATTTATTCTAAATTTATTTAGATATATTCTAAATTTATAAGTAAAAATAAAGAGGCCCAGGACACCCAAGGCAATCTTTTAAAAATAAAAGATGAGATATTTCATTTTGCAGATGCCAGGTCCTACTATGTTGTAGTAATTAAAGCACTTTGGAATTGAAGAGAGAAAATAGAGATTGGGCATCTGGAAACACAAAAGTCAACCTACACCTCCTTTGTTTCCCTTTTCAAACCACACACACACACACACACACACACACACACACACACACACACACAGAGAGAGAGAGAGAGAGAGAGAGAGAACACAGAAGTAATTATAGCTTATATAATGATCTCCATGGGAAAATAAAATATAATTACTTGAAAATGCTCAGAAAAATCTTAAAGGTGACTTATATATTGCCTCTAAATGTTTGTAAACTATTATCAAAATAGAATGCTACTTTTCAGTGATAATCAAAACAAACAGGTGAATCTAAAAAACCAAAATCATGGTGAGCAAAAGCAGTTGAGTAGATCCAGTGACATTACATTTATACAAAGTTATTACACAGCAAAATTAACTCATTTCCATGGGTTTACATAAATGTAAAACTCTTGAAAACATGCAAGTTATTTACAAAAGTGGCAACAGGAGAGAAGGAAAGGAAGTAGGATTGTTACACTCTATTTCATTGTGAGTTATGTGCATATGTTACTTAAAACCCTTCCATAGTTTCTGTTTATAATTTGATAAAATGTAAGTATGTCTAGTATGTAATAGTGCTAATATAATCTTATAAACATCTTTAAATATTTCCCTTACTGAACCATGTAGGTTAAGTCTTCCAATTCATATTGTCACTTATTTATCATCGATCCCAGTTAGCTTCAGCTGTCAAGTTGACAAGCCCAGACTTATCTGGAAGATTTTCATTGGGGATATTACCTCTATCAGATTGGCCTGTGGGCATGTCTGTGGACATTCACTTGATTGCTAATTAGTGTGGGAGGGCCAGGCACTGTGGGTCACCTCATCCCTGGTAGATGGATTTGGGCTATATGAGAAATGTAGCTGAACAGAAGCCTGTGAGAAAGCTACTAAGGAGGATGTCTCCATGGTTTCTGCTTCAAATTCCTGTCTTGACTCCCTTCAACAATGGACTGTGACCTATAAGATGAAATAAACCACTTCCTCCCTAAGTCATTTTTGGTGATGATGTTTGTCTTGGCTAACATTTCTATTGCTGTGATAAAACACAATGACCAAAAGCAACTGGGAAAGAAATGGTTTATTTCACTTTGCAGTCTGAGGTCCATCATCCAAGGAAGTTGGGACAGAAATTCAAGGCAGAAACCTGGAGGCAGAGACTTAAAAAGAAGTCATGGAGGAATAATGTTTACTGGCTTTCTGCCCGACAGCTTCCTCAGAGTACCGTATAGCACCCAGGCCCACCTGTCAAGGACTGGCATCATCCCCAGTAAGCTGGGCCCTCTTACATCAATCATCAGTTAAGAACATATACCAAAAGCTTGCTCACAGGCCAATCTAGTGGAGGCATTTTCTCAGCTGAGGTTCCCTCTTCCCAAATGACTCTAGCCTGTGTCCAGTTGACAAAATACCAGCCAGTGCAATGTTTAACCCAGCAACAGAGAGCCAGCTAGGACTTCATCAACAGATGCCACCGGCTGTAATTAAGTATTTATTTTTCTCCATGATTAATGGCTGAACTCCATGGATCTATATTCCTTGGAAATGGAAATTGTGTCTTTTGTTGTGCACTGTGAAATTCCAAAAAGGAGGCTGTGCATGTATGAGGTTCAATTTCCTGAGGCCATTACATCAACGAAGGTAAGATAACTCAGTGGAGAGGTTTGTTACATTAACAAAGATATGAGTGGAACACATGGAATAGAACTACTTTGTAAACGAGAGTGTTGTGCGTGTTGGTAGCTGTCGCTACAGTTTCACATCGTATTTACTTTATCACAAGTAGTTGTCTAACCTAGTTTATTTCATTCAAGTTTATCAAATCAGTACCACTGATCATGTTGTAAGCATTTATCTTCTGTTTATATGTGCAAATTGAGAACACTTTGCCAATAAATACATATTAGTAGTAGCATCAAAAGTGATGGCTAAGCTCTGATGATTAGAGAGGAGCATAGTTGGTACCACCTCCCTCATCTGTGGTGTGGTGGTGGGCACAAGGGAAAGATGTTAACACTTTGCCCCTACCTCCTCTAGCTGGCTAGGGAGCTGAACCCTTTACCAGCTTCAACATTTGGGAAAGCAGGCCCTGCATCTCATCTGGGTAGCACAATAGAGCCAAGGCTATTGGCAAAGGTGTGGGTGAGCCAGTCCCGAGGTTGTGAGAGTGGAATTGTCCCCAGGACTCATCTCTCATATGGCAGTGTTGGCAGGGGAGAGATCCCCCCTTACCCTTCACCCTTCATCACCTGCTAAAGACAAAAGAGCTGACCCCTCCCTTACCAGCTGCAGCACTCAGGAAAAGGGGCCCTGTTCCTCGTCTGGGCAGCATAGTCCAGCTGACCTCTGGTGGCAGAGGAACAGGTGAGTTGGCTCTAAAGGCGTGAGAGTTGAGCTGGCCACTCTGCCATGTGGTGGTAACGTCAAGAGAAAGATGCCTTTTACCCCAGTCACCTGTGGTAGGTGGGTGAGGGAGTTGACCCTCCATCTTACCAGCTGCAGCACTCTGGAAATTGAACCCTGAACCTCACCTGGCAGCACAATAGAGCCAACCCCAATGGCAGAGGTGTGGGTGATACAGTCTGGAAGTTGTGAGCATGGGAGAACAGTCTGAATTAATCATCTGTTAGGTGGTGGCATGGGCGGGAGAGAGATGTCCCACTCATTAATGTCTGAGGTAGGTGGGAGAGCTGGCCCTGAGGTCATAAGAGTGGGAGAGCTGGCCCTGCCCCTCATCAGCTGCAGCACTTGGGAGAGTAGCTTACATGCCATGCCTGGGCAACACAGTAGAGCTGGCTCTGAGGGTGCAGGTGTGGGAAAAGTGATTCTGAGGACATGAAAGCTAGAGAACTGGGCTTGCCCCTTGATCATCACTGCAAGGGGTGAATTGGCCAGGCCAATGCAGGAAAGCTCACCCTGGTGGTGAGGACAAGAGAGAGCTGGTGATCAACCCTGCAACTACCTAGGCCCAGAACCAGGGTTATGAGTTGGCTGACCCCAACATCTACCCCGCCTGTGACCTGCTGGAGCATGTGAAGGGAGCCATCCGCAGACACAAAACTGGGGGATCTCCACAACACAGGGCAACAAAAGGACAACCAAAAGGAGCTCCAGTGAGGGCCTGACATCGATAGTGTGGCAGAAACCAGAGGCCTTGAACCAGACCAATGGCTCTTTGCCATGAACATTGGCAAATAACCATATATGGATAAAGGGGTTTGCTTTGTGACTCACTACAGGTTCCATGATGAGACTGATTTTTTAAAATTCTTTTTTCCCTCTTACATTGTATTTTATTTTAAAGGGTGTGTTGCAAGGGCAGAGGGCGAATGAATAGGATGGGATGCATGATGTGAAAGCCACAAAGAACAAGGAAAGTTAAAAAAAAAAAACAAACAAAGCAATGGCTGGGGAATGGCTAGGTGGTTGCAGTGCTTGATGCACAAACATTAGGGCTGTGTTCAGATCCCAGAACCCATGTAAATCTCTGGCAGCAGTGTACATCTATAACCCAGCACTGATGGAAGGGGGCAGAGACAGCAAACCCTGAAGACTCACATTGACCAGACACATTAGCTGAAGGACTGAGTTCCAGGTTTGCTGAGAAAGGATGTATCAAAACATGAGGTGGAAAGATGTTTCAGAGGAACAGAGCACTGTCTGCTTTTCCAGAGGGTCTGGGTTCGATTCCCAGCACCCACATGGTAGCTCATAAATGGCTGTAACTGCAGTTCCAGGTGATCTGACATCCTAGTCTAGTGGTTGTAGACACAGCATGTACATGATGTATAAACATACATGTAAGCAAAACACAAAAATAAATGAAGAAAATATTTTGAAAATGAGGTGCACAGATAGATGATAGAGGAAGATACCAATTCTTCATATGAGCATGTAAGCTTAAACATCCTCACCCTCACCTCTCATGTATGTGCACTTACATGGACACACACACACACACACACACACACACACACACACACACACACACACACACACGAGTGTGCAGCATAGAAAATGGGTTTTCTTTTCCTGGAATTGGATGGAACATCACAAAATCATACATATTTCAGATGATTCATTTGTAAGTTTTAAAAGAAAAACTCTTTATTTCTACATCAAAATTAAAGTGATACTTCCAATGCTGCTATAAGAAGCCCATGTACATTATAAAGTTGTCAGTTCAATCACAAATTAAAGAGACCATTCAGTGACCATGGAATGTACAGCTGATCAAGACACAGGTTGGAGCCATGTAATATCTGACTTCCCACTCCCAGAGACCCTACATTCCCCAGCAACACTGTCATCAAAAATATATCAAGTTTTATCTAAGTTTATATAATTACTACCAGTTCTATGCAATCAATTTCTAGATACATTTTAGTGACTAAAATTCAATAGCAGTGAAATGAGATTTGCTTGAGTTGTTCTAGGAGACGTGGCTAGCTTCTGTAGAGTCAAGAATGGCAGTGAGCAGTCTGACAAACTTATAAACATCATGGAAAGAATTATAGAGAGGAACAGGGGCCACACGGATGCCATCTGGTTCTCGCTTGTCACACTGCAGAGAAAAAAATAAAGTCATCATTTTAGCACTATCCACACACAGAAATTCTACTTATATGATAAAATTCCATAGACCACGACTTCCCATAAAACTCAATACATGATCAATATTCTTTTTGCCACTGTAACTAAAACTCTTTGTCCCTGTCAGTCTAAACTTTCCTCTTAATAATGACTCTATCAGTGGGTTCCCAAGTGAATGTTCAAAAGATATTTCTAGAGTCACTGAGAGCTGTCTTTGAGAATGGATCCCACAACTAGCTTTGCAGAGAGTAAGACCCAGAGGAATGGATGGAAACCTGGAACTAATTTAAATATCCAATGTTTGAGTGCCTCCATAAGATTGTAAGAGCTTTAGAAACCATGCTTCATTTAGATATAGATGGGTTAAAGATAGCCCTTTTATATTTTATTGAAAGAAATATAATTGATCACTCTCATTTGGTTGATTTTGTCACTGACCATGGAGAGAGGCATCTATATGTCCCCAGAACTGCTGATGGGTTTGGAAGTATGATCACTTCTGGCCTGGTCACCACGATGACCAACTTTAAGAAATGTACGTTATAGATATCAGTTAATATAATCTGGGTATTCCTTCCTGTTTAATTCCTATAATGATGACTCTTTGAAGTGCTATTCAACTCAAAACAGTGATGGGAAATCTCAAGCCAAAGCAGCCTGGGTTCCCTGAGAGCACAGAGTTTAGGGTGGGTAGGGGGAGGGGGAACTCAGCTTGGCTTACAGTGCTGCTGCTGAACATGAGCCCTGAGTCAGAGTAACCTTTCTAAAACTGTGAGTATTAATGAGTGAAATACAATCCAACTCATATGCCTCTTCCTTCAAACTGCCTTGGTAATAATGTGTTGGTTCTCCCCAAGAGGTGTTTAAACAACAGTAAAGATTCTTTGTCTTGTTCTCATTCTGGAGAAATGTCACCACATTGTTTTTGATGGAAGTGATGAAATCAACCAAAGAAGGGTGATAAGTTTTATTTCTTTCAATAAAATATAAAAGTGCTATCTTTAATCCACATATCTATATCTATATATCTATATGTCTATATAAATATATGAGTCTGATGAAATATATCCTTGCTTAGCTGTTGAAAAACAGAGGGAACAAGACTATTTCTCAAAAGCAGGATTTGCCATGTATTCCATTTGATCAGAAACAACAGAGAGCCCTTGTGGCTCTCAATCCACAGAGTGCTGAGTGCTAAGTTGGTGTATGACTTATCCTGACTTGTTGATGGGACTGATATGCAACAAAGGGTAAACTGCAGAACTTAAGACTCATCCCAACCTGGAACCCAAAGAGAAAATGTGGTTCAATGCAAGATATAAACTGATCATATACATACAATGACTCCTCTTTTTTCCAGTTCCTCAAAAACGCCTTTCCTGGGAACGGAAAAGGTCAGTGTTAACTGGCAGCCACGGTCCTCTGCTCTAGATGGAGTGATGATGTTCACAAGTGGTCCTCTGTTTCCTGTGTTCTCTTTGTTGTGGTATTGTTTGAGCATGTATTCCAGATAGCCTGTCAGTAGAATGGATTTTCTCCTCAGGGCTGTCATAGTTGCTTGCTGAAAGAGCTGAGAATGACAATCAGATTAGCAATGGCTATTAATTTAAAGAGAAGCAAAATGCAAATGTAAATCACACATAAAAAAGGAAATTCCCAGTTTTGATCTATTGAAAACCATCACATTTAAGAAAATCTTTTCTCTATTAAAACATGCCATCTTTGAAATGCTTCATCACTAAATAGTGAAAGTCAATTTTCCATGACAGAGAATATATGTGAATTTCATTTGAACAATGTTTGCAAGAGAAGAAAAATTTTGCTTCGGAGAATTCAACTGTTGTCTGTAGTTTGGTCCACAGACCATTTAAAACATAACCAATACTCGTGTAAAAGTGGTTGCACATATTGTCCACAATGTCTTGGTGATCACTACATTTTCCCAAGTTAGTTGCGTTTTGTTGTTGTTTGTTTTCTGAGACAGGGTTTCTCTGTGTAGCTCTGGCTGTCCTGGAATTCATTGTGTAGACCAGGCTGTCTTCAAACTCAGAAATCTGCCTGCCCCTTTCTCTTGAGTGCTGGCATTAAAAGTGTGAACCACCACCACACAGCTTACATTTTTTAAAGTTAAATTATGAAGCTGCTTTTCTCAGGGAATCTAATAATGTTGTGTTATCGATGCTGAGAATTGAGTTACCATTACCTTCCACTTCTGCTTTCCTTGCAAAGCTCCAGCACTTGTCTAAAATATCGCCACTTGTCATCTGATGGGCCTATCCCAATGAGTGACAAGGGTCTGCAGTAATTTGTGTGGTCATGTTAGGGGCCAGAACAGACGTGCTTTTCTGTCTTGTTTACAAATGAATTCTCCATATGAGAACTAGAGGAAATGTTAACAGCATGGTATATATGGCATGCCATTTAACGTCCTTTGCTGTAACATGAGACAAAATATCAAGAACAATGTGGGTGATGTCGTTTAGTGATGTCTGGGTTTAGCAAGACATGAAACTGTGTGGGGGAGAAGGAAGTCAAAGAAGACTTGACACAGCAAGCAATGATTTCTCTGGCTCTACAATGTATTATGTATGGATTTGCTACAAGTTGAACTGTGAGTCAGTAAAGGTCTAGCTGCAGGCAGAGGCTGGTGGCTACTCTAGATCTTCCATGCAGAAGGCTGTGAAATTGCTGAAGGGAAGTGCTGTTTGCGATGAATGAATGCACCTGTTCCAGGCAGAGGCAGCTGCTGACTAAGACAGGTGTGGGAAGGTGCAGCTGTCTTTCTAGAGATCAGGTACCAACATCACTAGCTTCATGTCCAGGGCATTAGGTCCAAACTGCTGTGAGTTTCATTACCTTGTACAAAACAAGAGCTTTGGGAAGCCAGTCAGGTTTTAGGTCAGTACACTCTTTGAAGGGTAGGAGCAGATTGGCAAAGCATGGCTCACAGGGTTTGAAACAAACTATGAAAATACATTAGCCCAAGTTTCTCTCTGGATATTATATTCTACAAGTATTTCATTTAATAAACTATGCTATAAAACTTTCTGGTTCAGCTATAGGCCCCCAAATACACACATAGGGTGCTGTGCAAAATGCAGTTGCCCCTTCTCATCTGCTTCTATGACTCTTGCAAGCACCCAAACCCTTGACAACTAAATTCAATAAATACAACAGCATTGGACTTTAATGTGGTGTTGACACAGCCTCTCACTCTCTGTAATACTTAAGGATTCTGCTTGTCGTACCTATCACAGCACAACTACTGTGTAGCTACTTACAAACACTGTATCATCTGGTGTAGTAACAAGAAAAAAATAGGTCTGTACAAAGCGTTGGTTTCTCTTGGGTATGGGCTCCATGAATGAAGACCCTGTACAGATGGAGGGTAAGATGTCCACTTCGAAGAATTTCATTTGTATCTGCAGCCGATGAAGCTCTTGGAGATTGTTAGCTAATATTTCTAGTGTTCTTAAAAAGATGAGGCATTTGCTTTTACTGATTCCCTTTATAGCGAAATGCCATTGTGTGCAATGTCAGCCAGTTTTATTTTACATTACAAAATGGTTTACTCTTCCACAGAAAAATAAATATAAAATTATTTTCCACTTTACAGCCACAAAAAGGGTGACTGTGGTTTCCAGTCCCATTTCCTGTTACTTGTGTCCTGACAAGATACCTGACAAGAAGCAACATGAGGAAGGGAGGGTTTATGCCAGCTGACAGTTTAAGAAGTGTTTTCCATCTAGTCACACTGTGTCTACCATCAGGAACAGGGTAGACAAGAAGTGAGGATGTACTGTAAAATTCTGAGGCCAGCCCTTATGACCTGCTTCCTCCAGCAGAACTCTGCCTCCTTTCTAAGATGATTTCACCAGCTGGGGACCAGACACTCAAACACATGAGTCCGTGGGGACTGCATTCAAACCAAAACATGGCCTGAGCCTTCTATAAGTGTCTTCCCAGAGCTGAGAAGTTGGTTCTGAAGTCCCGAAATTAACAAAGTCTAGGAATGGCTCAGTGCCAGACTGCTTGCATGAAGTCCAAGGGGCTTCATGCTCAGCATGGGAGAGCATAGCAAAGCAAAATTTAAAACAAAAACAAAATAATAACAAAAACAAGGGTTAATAGGAGTTAGAAGAGAAATATATTGAGTGCCTACTTTCCCTGATTTTTTTTTTATTATTTTCACTGAATAACCAAAGTTTTTTTTTTTTTATTTAGAGAAAGTTGAAAAATACAGTTTTAAAATCCTATAGTTTTAAACAGGATTCTTGGGAGGCTTCTCTACTTGCTCTATTTTGTTGTTAATGTGTAAAATGAACATAAGACTAGGAAAGTTAGCCCCTCAAGATAGAAGTTTCAACCCTCAAGTTGGGAAGGTTATAAACTCTTAAGGAGTGAAAGCGTGTAGAAAGTGGAGTTTTCCGTTGTTATGATTGTTTTCCTATTAAATTCTGTTGTAGAATATTATTTTAAGATATGTTACATTTGTTTATGCTATGGAACATTTGTTTAATGGTGCAAAGGTATGCTGTATTCTTTTATGTTGCATTTGTTTCACTCTGTGAGGCTGTGTTGCCTTGCCTGCCTAAAACACCCAGATTGATCTAATAGTACACCACAGTGTATCAATGACTACCTTCCAGCAGTGGACAGGAATTGGCAGTTTCAAACTTAAGATAGGAAGTATAGGAACTACTTTTAACAATATCAGCTGAGCAGATGTAGTTGTACACAAAGCCAATTAATGCATTTGAAAATTATTTCATTGGAAAGAACTTCCAGACCGTATTTATGCCTTGGGTGGAGGCGTGCATGCTGTGGGGCACACATGGACATCAGAGGACAGCATTGTGAATTAGGTCTGCTTCTCTCCTTCCCCTTTTATTTACATGGCTTTCCTGGTTTGTGCAGCAGCAGTTTACATGTTGAGATGTCTCTCTGGCCCTGTTCAGTTGATTTTTACGTATGCAAGCCTCCTGTTGTTTTTCAAGTATATAGAATAGTTTTGAAAGGAAAGCAGACAGGACAACCTGGATAAATCATTTGTTTCTTTCATTTAAATATTGACCATATTTTAGTGACAGGAATCCCCTGCCAACTCTCGTCCTCTTCTTATCTCTTTTGTCCTTTTGGCTCCAAGCTTACCTTCCCCTACACCTCTCTTCCCTTACTGTTCAGCTTTTCTCACTTTGAACCCCCTTTCTTAATTCTCTTTTTGGTTTCCTTCCCCACCACATTTTTCCTTTCTCATCTCCACATCATGGCTGGCTTTCTCCCAGAAAAAAAAAATAAACAAAACCTATAAACAAAACCAAGGAGTTTAACTTGCCAGTGCGTTCTGGCATGGCTCAGAAATACATGGTGATTAGGGTATCAGAGAAAAGGAACTGTGTGTCATTTTTTTAATTTTAAACCTTGGCAATTTAAAATGTGTGTGTGTGTGTGTGTGGAGGGGGGGGGACTTTAAGACCACATTAGCCAGTACAAAGCTTGAGCAGTGTGTTCAACAATAATAAAGACGAGGCTCTCAGTTGGGGAGAGGCATGGAATGAGTTGGAAGGAGGGGCCAGAGGGAGGAAAAGGAAGGAGGAAAGCCACATAATTATATTTTAATTAAAATGTCTAAAAATTAAAATAAAAAAATGGGGAAAAGATCATTCGGCTAGAATATAACCCTGGTAGTGAATGGGTGCAATCGGAGGCCAGAAGCTGCTAAGAACTGTGTGTCCCGCTGCTGGTGGCAGCTAAGGTTCTTTAGGTAGCTTTAAGTTAGGCTGGAATCACCCCGCTCCAAAGCTGGAGGCTGCTGAGTTGGAGGTCATACTGTCTTGAGGGAAAAAAAAAAAAAAACCAATGGAAATTTTCAGAATCTACGAATAAGGGAAATGAGAAGCAATGAGCTAAATGCTAGCCCTCCCTAGCTCCCTAGGGTATGGCTTGGTTGGTTCCATTCTTGGCCCTTCTGTTACAACCTTGCAAACTGAGATGACACCTGCTGTTTTCAAGTCACTAGACACAACGTTTCTCCTCACGGATACTAGTTATTAAATACTATTAGACAACTACTAAATATCATTAGACAAAGTACTGAACAGACTTTTCTTCCAAAAGACTTTGAAAAGTGTTACAGTGGATGAAAAATAATCTTGTTACTTGCTCTATTTTCTATCAGAACAGTCCAAAAAGGTGAAAACAGCACATGCTACATCTAGTGGTCAAACTGAGTTGGTGATTTCTTAACTAGTATGAAATGAGAACGACAATTTATCATTATCTAGTGGTGAAGGCACACAAAACCAGGAATTTGATACTGCCATCTAGTGGCTATAATGAGAAACCGCTATATTTTGGGTTTAGAAGAGAAATCATTTCTTTCTAACCACACCTTTCAAGCTCAAATCCTGTACAACGTGATTTCCTAAAACATCATGAATTAGATTATTTTAGATGGCATTAAAAACAACAACAAAAATAAATTCAAATCTTTTTGGCGAGGAGGTAAAAAACATCTGTATGATTTTAAGTATATTTCAGTCAAATTTATTCAATTAATATATGTATCATTACTAAGCATACAACTTTGGAAATGTATTTTTCTTTTATATGTATGGATGTTTTGTCTATGTGCATGTGTATGTATGTATCACATGTGTGCATGTTACCCACAAAGGTCAGAAGAGGACATTGGATTTCCTGAGGCTGCAGTTACAGACAGTTGTGAACTGCCATGTGGGTGCCTGGAATCAAACCTAACTCCTGTGGAAGAGCAGCCAGTATTCTTAATCACCTCTCCAGCCCCTAATTATATAATTTTAATTACTTGATAAGTAATAATTATATTAATTTATTTACCTAAATGAATTTAGAGCATCACAAAATGATATCAAAGACATAACAGTTTGGATTTCTAGATATGTTCTTTTTTTTTTGGGTTGGTTTTTCGAGACAGGGCTTCTCTGTGTAGCTTTGGAGCCTATCCTGACACTCTCTTTGGAGACCAGGCTGGCCTCAAACTTACAGAGATCCGCCTGCCTCTGCCTCCTGAGTACTGGGATTAAAGGCGTGTGCCACCAACGCCCAGACGTAGATATGTTCTTTTGTCTGTGTCTACTTTTTGTACACATAAATAACTACAAACCTAACTGTTTTACAAATATTAATATTGTATAAAATCAACTTAGATGAGTATATGAATTAAAAGAAAATACAGAGTGATGATACTAGAAATTATATATGGATACAATGCTATAGACTAAGAAAAATAACTACCCTATTTAGTGAGGCCACTTTATCCTGTGTATGTTTTCACAAATTCTTCACAGTTACCTTTCAAAGTTAGTCTACTGTTAACTATTTTATGTGGCACATTGGTAGTTCCTTGGCTTGGGAAACAGGAAATAACACGATGCCTAAAATTCAGAACAATGCCTGGCAATTCTTTCTCAATAAATACCAGCTACTTAAGTGAATTAACATAAAATTAAATATTACATAATTATTTGGTTTATGGAAAGATGAGCATTGACTCAGTCAAGTCCATACACACTTCAGTAGAACAGCAGCAGATACGTCTTCCCACAACAGGCCCAATTAACAAAACACATTCAAGGTCACAGTCATAGTCACTGTCCCAGTAGGAAATTCTGCCTTCTGTTAAATGCTTATGCTTATTCAGGATCTTTCTCATTAGCTGAAAGCCTTTAGAACTTATTGCAACCAGGTGAGGTAAGCAGGCCAGGATGTGGGAAGGCAGAAGCCCAGGATTCTTACCTCTAAACTAGCATGCAAGGGACAGACCAACAAAATGGGAGGGTTGGAAATTCGGAATCCTCTGGCCCCAGGGATTAACTGCAGTTCTGAAAAATTCGCATAATGTCATTATTTATAACATATATTAAAGAAGGACTTACAACTATAAAGAAGTCAATATTGAAAGAGTAAGATTTAAAACCGCTCCCCTAGTGGTATTCCTCAACTACATAAAAGAAACTCAGTGGAGGAAAATTCTGGCATGTTTTCACTCCATGGCAGTTCCTATGATTTGCGTTCCTTCCTGTCAGCTGACTTGATGCTGGAACCCTCACAAGGAAGATAGAAATGCTCTAAACCCTAGCCTCTGTCTTCCTGGTTCCAAGACAGTATTTTCTTTTCACACCATGCTTAAAATCTTTTTATGAATATCACGTCATGAGAGAGAACATGAAGATGGGTAGGCATGGGATTCTGGTCACCTGAAGGCAGAGAGATGAATGAAACGACCCATGAAAGTGCTTTCTAGCTCTAGGAGCTTTATGAGGTCACATGGCCATCTTAGGAAAAGGAGAGGAGATAAAAGATCTATGCACGGTGATATAGAAAATAAAGGGATAGCAGGTATTCCCCTAACATGATTAAGTATATTAAGCTGAAGCAAGTTAAGTCTAATATCATTAGAGTGACCAGAAATTCATTTAAGACAAAGAAGAATCTATTAAATTTTTTGGAAATTTATCAAGCCTTGGGCTAGCTAAAATAAGACGAGCAGGCAAAGTCCAATCCACCACTTGGTTTGAAATCATCGTAAGGTTTATTGGACAATGGTCTTGGTGATTTCTATGTGCCTCTATGGTTGCTTAGGCACCATAATACAGAGTTGATCAGAACAGCTTTAAATAGTTCCCGTCTCCTGTGTCACAGCAAGAGAGCCAGCACTGTTCTTGACCTAATCAAATCCCCTTGTGATGGATTAAAAACCTTACGTGAGTTAACTGAAGTGACTTTTATGAAGTTAGCAGCCTGGCTACATTACAGGCTTCTGATCTGACTAGAGCTGTCCATCAGGACTCTGTGACCTGGCTGTTGCCAATTTAAAGACATAAACAGTTCCTAAGATCTGGACACATACTAAACACTAAATTTATGCTTAACTGGCAAAGGCTCATGATGCCTCCAGTGCTCTAGAAGGCTGGAGTACAGTCATTGGAAAGAAGAGGGAAGGTGTGTCCCTGGTGCCTTGCTGCTTACAGTCTTTGGTACATGGCAAATGCCACAGCAAAGGAAAAATTGGAACAAGAATAACTGTAAACATTTGTTAAAAGTCCTGTAATATGCCATTGGGTTTGTAATTTTGAATTTAACTTACTCTTAAACCAAACACTGAAGTCAACATTATTGACATTAAGTATGTGGAACAGAACAATGACTGGCATTATCACAAAACTATGAAGCGGCAAATTGGGATTGACATTCATGTTTTTCTGGCTCTGGCCTGAATCATCAAATTGCCCCTGTCTTCCCTGCCTGTATTTTGGCCATTCCTACTCGGGAATCGGACCAAGCCACATGAGCCACAGGCTAGATTTCACTTCCTTTAATCTCTCTTCAAGGGGATAAAATACAAAATCATGCTAAATCTATAAACACTTAGCCTTACATACTGAAATGTCATTTCTTATTTTGGAAACCACAGCGACATTTTCAAAGTGCATTCTCCATGGGGCATGTCTATTACATGGAATACAAAGTCAGTTGAAAATTAGAATGAAGTCAAAACAAAAGTGCATATGATAAAGTTGAATATACTTACTATTATCCATCTTAAATCTTGTACTGAGGTCATGTCCAAACCATCCCACTAACCTAAAATATAAGATAACAATAGGCATTTGCTCTACAATACTATTGCAGTTGATTTTGAAATTTGCGGCCAGCACATTAAAATAAATTGTGGTGCAAGTTAGCAATTACTTAAGTAAATAAATGTTACACAAGAGAATAAGACACTATCAAAAATAAGGAGAAAAAAATCAATTTTCTCACATTATTTCATTTTAGTACAGTAAAATATATTTACATTTAATATTTTCTTATACAATGGTTTTTATCATTGAAATGATTTAGAAGAACATTCATGGGGGTTTTGATTTTATTTTTAAAATTTTTTCTCCCCTTTTTTATTTAAATTAGAAACAAGATTGTTTTATATGTCAATCCCAGTTCCCTCTCCCTCCCCTTCCCACCCCAACATACACCCTATCCCATACCATTTCTGCTCCCCAGGGAGGGTGAGGCCTTCCATGGGGAGATCTTCAGAGTCTGTCCTATCCTTTGCTATAGGGACTAGGCCCTCCCCTGTGTGCCTAGGGTGAGGGAGTATCCCTGTATGTGAAATGGGCTCCTAAAGTCCATTCCTATGCTACGGAAAAGTACTGATCTACTACAAGAGGCCCCATAGATTTCCCAGGCCTCCTCACTGACACTGATTTTCATGGGGTCTGGATCAATTCAATACTGGTTTCCCAGTGATCAGTCTGGGAACCAAGAACTCCTCCCCCTTATTCAGGTCAGCTGTTCCTGTGGGTTTCACCAGCCTGGTATGGACCCCTTGATTTTAAATGACAAACTAAAGCTTAAACATTAAAGTCACCATACCATGATATTTTACAGTAGAATCCTAGAGAGTTGGCCTAGCAAAACTTGATGTGCTGAAAGTGTTTGAATGATTTCATAAGGACATGTATATCTTCAGTTTGAACTTAGTTCACATTGAATGTATCTGAATGAGCCAGGCAGAAAATAAAGATTACATAGGAATATTCATGTCTGTCTCTATTAGATGGAAAACAGGACAAAACAATTTAGAGTTAAAAACAAACAATCAAACTGTGAGAAAAGCACAGTGCTCCCAGTTGGGAGTTTCTGTGAACAATGTTTGCGGTGATATTCTGTGTACTTGATTAGATGTAGTGATCAGGAAGAGAAGAACAAGCTCACCCTTTTGTATAGCATGGAGTCTCATCAGACATAGAAATTGATCATGGAAACTCTGCCCTAATCAGTGGTCTACTCCTTTAGTGGCCTCAAGCTTTCGATACTTCATAGAACTGTGGAAGGTAGAGCCTCATTGGAGGAAGTGGCCACTGTAGATATTAGGTGTAGCTTTGGCTCTTTCCTGTTACTCTTTTCCTTGCCTCCTGGGTGCCAGGAGGTGAGGCACCCTTCTCTACTATGACCTTCCTCTATGATGCTCTGCTTCACCACGGGATCAAGCACAATGGAATCCCCTGACCACGAACTGAAATCTTCCAGTAAAAGGCAGACTAATTGTCACTCAGTTGAATTCTTCCTCCTTGGTATTTGTCATATAGGCCGACTAGCACTGTATTGCCAGTGCAATGCCTTTGGAATAAAGACTATGGCACTCACTTTTGGAACTTGGAGAAATATTTATCAATTTATACATAGTAAATTCATGAAAACAAAATAAATGTTGAAATGCAGAAGTACTGAAAGGAGTTTACTGTCTTATTTTGTAAATAATATCCAACAATCTTTTTTAAAAAGACACAATACTTAAAGCACATTAAATGAGTAAGCAGAGTACTGGCAAAAGAAACTTCTTCAAGACAAAAGGAACTGGATAGAATACATAAAAGCCATCCTAGTGTCATGTGCTACATGCTTATTGTGATATAAAGTACCCCAAAGTAAAGAAAATGTGCTTGTTTGCTTTCATTATTTTATTGTTTTGTTTTATTTTTGTCTTTGCATGTGTGCCTACTGGTCCTACTTTGCATACGTGCACTATGCATGTGAGGTATTCATGGAGATCAGAAGAGGGCATTGAATCCTGGAGCTTCTTCTTGTGGTTGCTGGGAACTGAACACAGGTCTTCTGGAAGAACAGCAAGTGCTCTTAATCCCTGAGCCACCTCTAACCCTGTTTTCTGTACTTTAAAAATAATTTATTTTTAAGTATAAACAAGAGGAGAAAATATAGAGTAATATACACTAGATTCATAAACACTTAAATCCTATATTAAAAAGGTAGGCCAGATTACAAAGAAAATGACAGAGAGGGACAGCAATGATGATGTCATTTTTGAGTGGTTTCATAGAGTATTTTTTATTTTTGTTTTTCAGAGAGAAAGAATAACAAAATATTTCAAGAGCTATGTTTTACTGAATAGTGTCCCGTAGGGAGAAATCCTGATTAGAGATACCACTGACCATGCCTGTTTGGGTGTGGTCAGAGTTACATAACAAAGGTTTAAGAAGGAGGGAGGTGAGTGTGGCTCTCTTTTGCCAGGCTGAGCTGACTCAGAAGCATTTCTGATTCAGAAGCATTTCTGGGTCTGTCCTGCTTAGGTGCAAACCTGGTCACTGGCTCCCTTGTTTGAGTACTTTTCCTTAATAAACAACCGTTTACCAAGCTATCTCTGACTCCACTATATCTGGTGTCAGTTTTGGGACTGAATTTGAACCCACGGGTGGGTTGATCTGATCAAAGAGGAAATGCAAATGTGCCCCCATTCAGCAAAAGAGATAACACATCTCCATCTCACAAATAAAGAAAAATTTTCAAATAATAGAAGAATTAAGTTCCATATTTAAGGTACTGAATTGACAACATGATAGAAAATTTCGGATGCCTGTTTTGCCAAGCAGTCAAAGAAAGACAAACTTTCCCCTTTGTTTACTGATGTGGATTGCAATGACTCAAGCCTTTCTTTCTTTCTTTCTTTCTTTCTTTCTTTCTTTCTTTCTTTCTTTCTTTCTTTCTTTATTTTTGAGACAGGGTTTCTTTGTGTAGCTTTGGAGACTATCCTGGCACTCGCTCTGGATACCAGGCTGGCCTCGAACTCACAGAGATCTGCCTGCCTCTGCCTCTGCCTCCCGAGTGCTGGGATTAAAGCCATGGGTCACCAATGCCCTGCCCAGTCAATCCTTTCTAAAGGACGGCTTGTCAAAATTCATGGAAGATATCAGAAGCAACAGCATGAAGAATCTACATGAAACTCTCAAATAATGTAACAACTGTTCTCACAGATGGAAATCATAAGACACAGGAGTTGCCAAAAAAGTAATGGAAAATATACAGCAACTAACAATAAATGCAAAAGAGCTAAGTAAATAATATTCAATAGGATGTGAAAATACTAAGGAAAGGACAGAAATCGTGTTGTATAGCAGTGTTTAGAAGCAGCAAATAACTGCCCTTGAGGAATGTGACCAGTCACAAGGCCCAGAAGAGATTCTAAAACTTCTGCAGCTATTTGCAAGCTATATAGAGAGTTCCAGGACTGTAGCTTTTATCAGTCATCATAGGTATTGTGGTGGCCATTTGAGGACAGTACTGTTTTGAGTCACCCTTGCTCTTACAAGAAGTCCTGTACCCATACTCTTGCTAGTAACTCCAATGAAAACGCTTTGTTTTTACAAAGTTGACTTTGGTTCAAATGTTACTCTGAGATTATTATGTGTTCCCTTTCTGGGGTGAACAGTTGTGTATGCACATTCAAGTGTGTAGTGTAGCGGCATCTTGCTTTGCCAGCAAACTTGTGGTGGTGGCAACATCCTATGGGTGTGGCTTCAGGTATGCAGAAGTGACCCCTTATAAGGAAGAGGAGGGACTGGCTCAGTTTCTTGGGTTGTGATGAGAGTATCAGAAGGGCAGAGACTGTATCTTCTAGAGCAGGAAGACTGAAGTGGTTTTACTATTAATTGTGTAAGTGCTTCCCTAATAGATACCTGTTAATCATTTATCATGGGTCTTGTGGACTCATTTAAAACCAGCCTTCACAAGTGTGTGTGTGTGTGTGTGTGTGTGTGTGTGTGTGTGTGTGTGTCTGTGTGTCTGTGTGTCTGTGTGTTTGTATTTGTGTCTCTGTGTATGCTGTTTTCTTAGGAAAAGTCTTGCATACAACATCTTAGACATGTGATAAATGAAAATGAGCTTATAGAATTGAATTTGAAAATAAAACAGGACACATTAAAGAAGAAATGAAGGATTTGGAAGGGATGTGAGGAAAGCAGGGGAAAAGAGAAAAGTACAGAGGACAGACAGGGAAGAAAGGGGTCTAATGCAACTTACAGAGAAAGTAGTAATTATTGGCCCCGAAAAAGGAAATTATATCATCTCCATGCATTTCTAAGAAGGAAAATAAAAGAACATTTGAACATTTAAAAAAGTTGAACTATTTCAACAGAACTTTATGGAATAAAGACTGAGTTGAACCTTTATATTGAAACAAGGCAATGGTATCTAAGAGTTGCAGCCCACAGTGACCAATCTGCATATGAGAACTTTAGCTTATAAGGGGTTCAAAGAGGAAAGTAAGTCAAAGCAAAGGGTGATGGTGGCTAGGCAAAAGGAAGATGAAACATGCCAAATCCACCATTATTCAAAGAAAGGAAATAACAGGCTTTTTCAAAACTAAATTTTAAAGCAAATCCTAAGTATTGGAAGATTTTGCTTAAAAACATCAAACAGAAAAGCAAAACGTGCTGAAATGCTCCTTAAGAAGCTGTTAAAACAGAAGACACCACATTAAACAACATTGAAGGAATCTCAGACACATCTATCAAAGCAATAAATGCCAATGGGTCCAGTGAACATCTTGAAGTCAGTAGTGACTTCAAGGAAGTTTTTTTTTTTTTTTGGAAAATGGTAGACAGTGTGATAAAGTAAAAGAAAACTTTATGTGCAGGGTTAGTCACAAATATGGAAAACAAAGCTTATGGTGAAGAAAAGACAGAAACAGACACCCACAGCTAAGCACTGAACCATACTACTGGAATTCAGTTGTGGAGAGGGAGGAGGGATGAGCAAAGGAGCCAAGATGGGGCTGGAGA